ACAAAGATCCTGCCCTGGGATATTGCTGTAAACAAGACTGAGGGTGGGAGGAGTAGGAGAGGTTACTTATACATTCTGTTTTAATTAGGTTCCTGTCTAATTAAGGATAGGGAGGAGCTACCAATTGTTGTGCTGCCATGGCCTATGACCAGGAAAAGAAAATTACGGTAAGTAGGAATAAATTATCCTTTATATACACACACACACACATTATAATATAAATTTTAAAAAAAAATCTATTTTTATATATATATATATATATCTCAAAGTTCCTTGCACTGCAGGCTTAAATTGTAATTTAGCTTACATGCTGGGTGCTGCATCCGGGTCATACGTATACAGAAAATGCAAAAGATGGTACGCACTCCCAGGCTCCGTTTAATATATAACCTTTATTTTCACATCAACAGTAAAAATAATTGCCAATGGTCAACGTTTCAGCCCCCGATTGAGACTGTCCTGAGGAAAGTCCCGATCGGGGACTGAAACGTTGACCATTGGCATCCATTTTTTACTCTTGATGCGAAAATAAAGGTTATATTTTAAACGGAGCCTGGGAGTGCGGACCATCTCTTGCATTTTATATATATATATATATATATATATATATATATATACACACACACACATTCTACATATATATTTATCTATTAACTACATAACTATTTGATTTTATTAATTATAATTTGAGAGACCTGCCTGACAACCCAGGCAGACAGTCCAGAAAATGTAATTGGCAAGCCCTATATTTAACCCTGTAACTTTCCTAAACACCATAAAACCTTTACATGAGGGGCTATTGTTATAGAGACTTCGCTGAACACAAATATGAGTGTTATAAAAAGGAAAACTTATCACTATGATGATATCACCAGTAAAAGTGCAGTTTCTGTTTAAAAAAATGCAAAAAACAAATAAAAATGCTAACTTTGGCCAGCGTTTGTGACTAAGTGGCTACTACAAAAGACTGGAAATACCCCATTTTGAAAACCTTGGGTTGTCTACATTTGAAAATGGTATGCCATGATGAGTTTAATTCACATTCCTGGGCTACCATATGGCCTCAAAAGGCAACATAGACCCAGCAAACTGGCAAAATGAATTGTGCAAGCTCTACATTGATTCTGTAACATTCCAAAAAACCATAAAACCTGTGCATGAGGGTATTGTTATACTCTGGAGACTTCGCTGAACACAAATATGAGTGTTTAAAACAGAAAACCTATCACGAGGATGAAATCACCAGTATAAGTGCAGTTTTTGTGTGAAAAAAAAAATGCAAAAAACTACTTTGCTGAACACAAATATGAGTGTTTAAAACAGAAAACCTATCACGAGGATCAAATCACCAGTAAAAGTGCAGTTTTTGTGTAAAAAAAAAAATGCAAAAAACTACTATGAACGTTAACTTTGGCAAGACTAGACATATGTATATGTATGTCATGGTGTGGTTAATTTTCATTTCTGAGCTGCCATACCATCTCAAAGACAGCATAGCCAATCTGGCAAATAGCAATTTACAAAAACAGAAATTGGCAAATCATGTTTGACCCTGTAACTTTCCAAATCACCATAAAACCTGCACTTAAGGGGTACTGTTGTACTCGTGGACCATTACTCTACACAAATAATAGTGTTTTAGAGTAGTAAAATGTGTTATACTGATAATATTATCGTGAAATGGTAGTTTATGTGTTAAAAATGCAAAATAATATATACATTTTGGCCAGGGTTTGTGACTAAGTGGCTACTAAAAAAGACTGGACATACCCATTTTGAATAACATAGGTTTGTATTTTTACATTTTGCAAAAACCCATAATACCTGTATATTGGGGGTACTGTTGTACTCAGGAGAAGTTGCTGAACACATATTGGGGTGTTCTTTGTCAGTAACACATAACAGGAACTGAGAGTCAATGCCTAAAGTACAATGTGAGAGAAAAATAACACAAAAAATGACTACCCAAAAGTTTGACAAAGACTGGTGGTTGAATTAGTGCATGGAAAGTGTTAAAATACCACCATTTGAAATACCCTAGGGTGTTAACTTTTTAATGTGAGAGAAAAATAAAACAAAAAATGACTACCCAAAAGTTTGACAAAGACTGGTGGTTGAATTAGTGCATGGAAAGTGTTAAAATACCACCATTTGAAATACCCTAGGGTGTTAACTTTTTAATGTGAGAGAAAAATAAAACAAAAAATGACTACCCAAAAGTTTGACAAAGACTGGTTGTTGAATTAGTGCATGGAAAGTGTTAAAATACCACCATTTGAAATACCCTAGGGTGTTTACTTTTCAAAAATATATGGTTTGATGGGGGTAAATTACATTGGCCTGCTTCAAAAATGTCCCAAATAGGACATGGGTGTATGATGACCAGCTGTGAAAATTCCAAGTTGGAAAACTGGAATGCGCACCAGTATACATGGATGGTATCACTGTACTCAGGAGATGTTGCTAAACACATAATGGGGTGTTCTTTGGCAATAACCCTCAAGGTTCTCAGTGCATGTATTCTTAAATTGCTATGTGTGTCAAAAAAAAATCACCATTTTATTTTTAAATTTGGCATTGATTGGTGGTAAAATGGTTGCATGAAAAGAGTCAAAATACCCCAAGTTTAATACCTGTCTTCTTTTAAAAATTATATACATCTCAATGGTTACTCGGGGATTCCTGACAGATAGCAGTGTTACAATGTAACTTTTGTTAATTTTGAAACAAAATGGTTTGGAAATAGCCAAGTGCTACTTGTACTTATTGCCCTAAAACATGCAAAAAAAAGCTAAGAACATGTTAACATTGGGTATTTCTAAACTCAGGACAAAATTTAGAAACTATTTAGCATCGGTGTTTTTTGGCGGTTGTAGATGCGTAACAGATTTTGGGGGTTAAAGTTAGAAAAAGTGTGTTTTATTACCTTTAAACATTTTTTTCATCATATTTTATAAAAAAAAATTTAGTAAATTTTATGATATGATAAAAATAATGGTATGTTTAGAAAGGCCATTAATGGCGAGAAAAACGGTATATAATATGTGTGGGTACAGTAAATGAGTAAGAGGAGAATACAGCTAAACACAAAAACCGCAGAAATGTAAAAAAAGCCCTGGTCTTTAACGGTAAGAAAATGGAAAAATGGTCTGGTCACTAAGGGGTTAAAGTAGCTATAATAAACAGTATCCATTGCTCAGGATATCTGCTAAAATGCAATATGACTTCTGAAACAAGATGCCTATCTGTGCTTTTTTGCAGGTCGAGTTGGGAACTCTGAACTAGTTGTGAAAATGCCCAAGAAGGACCCTTCAAAATCAAACTCATGATATGCAGGTGATGCACAACATATATTTGCACTTAAGGGTATTTTATCGTGTTTGGCTTCACCACAATCTTTTTGGTACCCAACTATATCAGAAAATAGTAAGACTTAAAATCATAGATAAAACAATTATTTTGCACACCTTTAACTGGTATGCTTCATATATCTAAAACAAAATCTACCAATATTAATTAGAACCTTCAAGGAAGAGGGGATTATTTTAACTACAATTCACAAATGGAAATGCTTTGGAATAGCTCTGTAAGCATATATCTAAAGTCTAATTAGTTTCTGCTTTTGACTGAACTCCTCCAGAGAACAGATTGTCAATACACAAAATAAACGGCACTAAATCCATCTTTTTAATTGACTTTATAAGCAAAGAACTTAAAATGCCCTTTAGATCTGTTATTGTTAATAAATTTAATATTAACTCTGTCTATATATTACACAATACACTACACACATTATTAGTAGACTTTTATATTCATTATGTTATAAATTGATAAAATCCGCATGCCAGAATGTTGGAATAAACAATTCACAGAATTTCGTTTTGATCCGGAGTGCAGTTACAGACATTATAAAAATGGGGGATGGAATAGAGAAGAAAATGCTTTTTTGGTGGGGAAAAATAAACACTTTTGTTTGCCAAGATGCACAAGAGGTCTGCCCAATAAAATGGGCTGTATAGTGAGGGAAAAAAGTATTTGATCCCCTGCTGATTTTGAACGTTTGCCCACTAACAAAAAAATGATCAGTCTATAATTTTAATGGTAGGTGTATTTTAACATTGAGAGACAGAAAAACGCATTTCAAAAAAGTTATAAATTGATTTGCATGGCAATGAGTGAAATAAGTATTTGATCCCCTATCAATCAGCAAGATTTCTGGCTCCCAGTTGTCTTTTATACAGGTAACGAGCTGAGATTAGGAGCACTCTCTTAACCCCTTAAGGACCAAACATCTGGAATAAAAGGGAATCATGACATGTCACACATGTCAGTGGCGTACATACCAGGGTCGCAGGGGGCCCGGCCGCCCCTGCGACCCGGTATGTACCCACAGGGCCAGCCTCTTCCCCTGGGGGGCCCAGGAGCCGGCCACCTCAGGGCCCCCCCCCCCGAGGCTGGCCCTGCTGTCACCGGGCAGTGAGTGCTCCCTCGCGCGCCAGCCTGCCTGACCGGCGTGCCCGCCTGCCTGACCGGCCAGCCCGCCCACAGTGACCTGCCGCCCAGGGAATCCCCCCAGCACTCCAAAAGGTAAGGAGGCTGGGGGGATTAAATTTTAAACAAAAAACTAGTGTTAGTGTTTGAGTGTGTGTGTGAGTGTTAGAGTGAGTGTTAGTGTGAGTGTTAGAGTGAGTGTGTGTGAGTGTTAGAGTGTGTGTGAGTGTTAGTGTGTGTCTGCTAGTGAGTGTTAGTGTGTGTGAGTGTTAGAGTGAGTGTTAGTGTGTGTGTCTGCTAGTGAGTGTTAGAGTGAGTGTGAGTGTGTGTGTCTGCTAGTGAGTGTCAGTGAGTGTGTTACTGTGTGTGTCTTACTGAGTGTGTGTGTTAGTGAGTCTGTTTGATGTCTGTTATAGAGTGTATGTTTTGTAAGTGAGTGTGTATGTATGTCTGTCGCTGACTGTGTCTCTGTCAGTAAATGTGTGTCTGTTAGCTAGTGTGTATGCGTCTGTAAGTGTGTGTGTGTCTTCAGCACTTACCTTTCTCCAGCGCCGGACTCCCTTGGCGCTGGGGATCCCTCAGCCTCTCAGCTCTGAATGCGACCGCGCACGCATTCAAACCGCCCATAGGAAAGCATTACTCAATGCTTTCCTATGGACGTTCAGTGTGCTCCTCTAGCGGCTGTCCGTGAGACAGCCACTAGAGGCTGGATTAACCCTCAGTGAAACATAGCAGTTTCTCTGAAACTGCTATATTTTCAGCTGCAGGGTTAAAACTAGAGGGACCTGACACCCAGACAACTTCATTGAGCTGATGTGATCTGGGTGTCTGTAGTGGTCCTTTAAAAGACCACTATAGTGCCACGAAAACATACTCGTGTTCCTGGCACTATAGTGCCCTGAGGGTGCCCCCACCCTCAGGGGCCCCCTCCCACCCAGCTCTGGAAAGGGGAAAAGGGGTAAAACTTACCTTTTTCCAGCGCTGGGCGGAGAGCTCTCCTCCTCCGATCCTCCTCTTCTCCTCCCCGTCGGCTGAATGCGCACGCGCGGCAAGAGCTGCGCGCGCATTCAGCCGGTCACATAGGAAAGCATTCATAATGCTTTCTTATGGACGCTGGCGTGCTCTCACTGTGAAAATCACAGTGAGAAGCACGCAAGCGCCTCTAGTGGCTGTCAATGAGACAGCCACTAGAGGATTAGGGGGAAAGCTTAACCCATTCATAAACATAGCAGTTTCTCTGAAACTGCTATGTTTATGAAAAAATGGGTTAACCCTAGCTGGACCTGGCACCCAGACCACTTCATTAAGCTGAAGTGGTCTGGGTGCCTAGAGTGGTCCTTTAAGTGTGTGTGCATCTGCATGCACTGGCGTACATACCGCGGTCGCAGGGGTCGCAGCCCTGTAACCCCTGTGACCAGGTGCCCACTGCCATGTGTTGCGGCCCGGCCCGCGCGCGGGGGGGCGGGGGGGGCCCACGGATCAATTTTCGCACCGGGGCCCCATGGGTCATGTGTACGCCACTGACACATGTCATGTGTCCTTAAGTGGTTAAGGGGTTAAAGAGTGCTCCTAATCTCAGTCCGTTACCTGTATAAAAGACACCTATCCACAGAAGCAATGTATGTTCAAAATCAGCAGGGGATCAAATACTTTTTTTCCCTCAGTGTATGTCCTGTTTAAACAAAAAAGAGGAAAAACAAGATGGATGATAGTTAGGGGACTGCCTGAAATCATCCTTTTTATTGACAAATCAATTGACAACTGATTAATAAAGGAGAAAAAGGTAGAGCAACCTATACTTCCCAGCAAATGTTTAACATTTACTTTGATGTCAGCTACTAAGTAAGCCTGTGTTATTGATTTTATAGTGTGAAGCTAGGTTCAGTCTATGTCAGTGGTACATAAAACAACTGAGTGGGAGATAGGAGATTGTAATTATGTCATTAATGCTAGTGTGTGGCATGTGTTGAGTTACCAATTTATGTTTTGGAGAGTATGTTGTTAAGTAAGAAAGAAAAATACATTCCTTGTGCCTAGCTACTGCCACATTGATACTCACGCACACTTTGAGTGGCAGTTAGCCTGCTTTGTTCATCATATTGTGAGACTGTGTTGTGGTTAATGCTGTATCTTATGCTAGCCCCTGGCACTAAACACCAATTTGGAATAAAAGTTTTTTTTTAATTCTTTATTTAAACGTAGACTGTAGGTATTAATATGAAACATGACAGTGGAGAGTACATGACATTTTATCAAAAACAGAAAACATTTAGCTCATCTGTATAGCCATAGACTGTTGTCATTGACAAAAAAGGTAGACAATAAAAGTAAAAATAAATCAGTCTGTAAAGTGAAATTGTTAATCTACTTTTGGTCGCCTAACTAACGCTGGACGTCCTCACGATATACATGGGGACATCCAGAGTCACCTAAAACCACATAGGAAAGCATAAAATAATGCTTTCCTATGGGGAAATTCTAATGTGAGCGTGGCTATTGCTGTGCATTAAGTCTCCCGTGCTGGTTGATGTAAGAAGGGGAGGAGAGAAGGCAGACCAGAGCCAGCACTGAGGGACATCGGTGCTGGAGCAAGGTAAGTGGGAAACCCCTTCTGCTACTGGAAGGAGGGGAGCTTGACAAAATGGGAAGCTATAGTGCCAGGGAATTTGTTTTTTTTGCTGGTACAATAGTTTCCCCGTAAAGGTTTCTCTAATCAGGAGAATGAGAGAAGAGATTAGGAAGAGAAAAGAACAGTATAGGAGAGAAATTAGTAAAGGAAAGGAAGGAAAGAATAAAGAGAAAGAAAAGTTGGAGACTTAGAACATAGGAAATTCAGGACATCACCAATAGGGCAAGACAGAGAGATGGAAAAGAGCTGTAGCTCTCGCCGACCTGAAGGGCAAAGTCGATGTTGGGGGGAGGCGGGGTGGAGGAAGGGCAGGCAAGGTGGTGGTGGGGGAGGCACATAGGCACATTTACACATTTATCTCCACAAACACCTTTTTAAAAAAATAAAATTATGTAACTTTACACAATACACAAATATACAATCAATCTTATCTGGAATGTATTGTAACAAAAAAAAAGCATCAACATCAATGTCACATACTAATCCCAAGATGCAGCTGAGGGAAGGTAGGTGTCCTGTTCCCAAATCCACCATCAGCAGTGCCATGGCCTCTGCAAGTCTAAAGACCTCTTCCTCAGAAATGTAGATCACTGACACAACTACTACTGCTTCCAATACTGCTGCTATCACCATTATTATTAGTATTTAACCTCAGGATAGTGGGATTAGCAGAATGTCTGTTATATCTAAATCAACACCAGAAGCTAACTGTTTTTTTTTTTCTCAGCTTGTTCCTGCTGCAACAACTTGCCTAACACAGTGTGGAGAGAATAGGTAGCAGCCCGGTATATTCTCTGGTAGCTGGTGTGCAGTTGTCTTCTCCAAGTCCACTTGTATCTGCTGTATAATCTACTCATCCAACAAAGACAGTTGTAACATCAGTTGTTCTTGCTACCCGTGGCACCAGTAGCTCACTTACTGTCATTGTTGCCATCAACAACAATACCAACAATACCACCACCACATTTCCATTAGTATTAACCTACAAAGGTACTACTGTTGGGACAGCTTCCATTGCCACTGATGCAAATACACCCACATCTTTAGCAAATGCAAGTCAAACAGTTTTAGGACCCAAAAAAGCCAACTTGCAAAGTACAAATTGTGCAGCAAGGAAGTGAATAGGGAGTGAGTGAGGGCTTCTCACTAGTTCTGATGTGAAGTAACATCTGCAAAGAAACCACAAGTCTGTACTACTAAGGAAAGAAACAGAGCAAAAAAAGTACTAAGGCAGACAGCGGGTCAGTGCAGTATCTGACTCAATGCAGTTTTCACCACCTATCAGTGCCACCCCATAAAACAGCACAGAGGTTCTTCTTGCTTAACCGGTACTGCCAGTGCAACTCACTTTGATTTAATGATATAGAATTGGTTTACTAGTTTGTGATTTTCTATTTCATGTAAAAGACGGATTCTTTAATGTGCAATGTGCTTCTCTGCTGTTGCTAATGATTTGAATTGTGAAAGCTTATTCCCTCAGTAATATACACAGTGAATGCCTACAGTTTACTTTAAAAGTGAACTCTGTCTACAGCACACTGGGTAGTGTTGCAGGCAGGGTTTGCAAGGACTTTTTTTTTCTCAATCAGTTTGCAAGGACTTTTTTTTTTCTCTTTACCTGTGTGCTGTACAAGACTCAAAGCACTTTGGGCATGTAGTAAAACACAATATAGTCAAACACAATAATGTTACATTACTAGTAAATTTACCAAGCAGCAAACCAACAGAAACATAAGGCAGGGTGAAACTGCTACTATAACAGGCATTTAAAAAAAAAGTAAGCAGCAGCAGCAGCAGCAGCAGAGAGCAGTAGTACCTCCTTCACTATTACCACCCTTAGGCAGAGCTGGGTTGATGCTGATGATAGTGTTAGTATTTAAAGGACCACTATAGTGCCAGGAAAACATACTCGTTTTCCTGGCACTATAGTGCCCTGAGGGTGCCCCCACCCTCAGGGAACCCCCTCCTGCCCGGCTCTGGAAGGGGGAAAGGGGTAAAAACTTACCTTTTTCCAGCGCTGGGCGGGGAGCTCTCCTCCTCCTCTCCGCCTCCAATCCGCCCCGTCGGCTGAATGCGCACGCGCAGCAAGAGCTGCGCGCACATACAGCTGGTCGCATAGGAAAGCATTCATAATGCTTTCCTATGGACGCTGGCGTGCTCTCACTGTGAAAATCACAGTGAGAAGCACGCAAGCGCCTCTAGTGACTGTCAATGAGACAGCCGCAAGAGGCTTTGGGGGAAGGCTTAACCCATTGATAAACATAGCAGTTTCTCTGAAACTGCTATGTTTATAAAACAATGGGTTAATCCTAGAGGGACCTGGCACCCAGACCACTTCATTAAGCTGAAGTGGTCTATGTGCCTAGAGTGGTCCTTTAACAGATGCAATTTGGACAGCGACAGTTGAACTCCTCACAATACTCAGAAATTCTCCACTAGCCCACACAATTATATTTTGTTGGATTTCATATCAGGGCAATGTCAAAACAACAACAAATTCAGCCTGATCACACAGAGTGCTCCTACCGTCAGTATGCCTTTTTTTAATTTATTGCGTGGTATACAGATATTACATAGCCAATTATGGAATGGTAACATTATACAGATAATTATCTAGCATAATATACTTGTTGGAATGATATATAATAAAGACAATACCACATTTTAAGACTTGACATTGCAATTAGACAATATTGTAGTAATTATTTGCATGTCAGCACAGTAAAAAGCACCTCTTTCTGCTTTTTTGTGGCTGCTTGAATTCTTTCCCAAAATTATTTTTCAACAAAATTCTGACAAGTGAATAAATTCTGCAGTTCCAAGTTTTATTTTTTTCCAAGTTTTAGCATAAAGTGGTTAACTCAAAACAAAATCTCCACTTTGCACAAGTCTACTTTTTATTAATATACATTTTATGATAACCTCAACTCAAAATGCATTAGTAGTATAAAACACATCAGCATTAATGATTATAATGAGAACTCAATTTCCTCAGATCTGGGTCACATAAAGCTCTACGACCCAGATTTTAGGAAAGTTTTATTTGTTATAATTAATATAAATATGTTTTTTCTTACAAAAAGAAAAATGGTCTTTAATTGAAAGTGAGAATGAGGAGAGAAATAAGCCCTTTCAACAATGTGTTTTTAACTTGTCATTTACCATTAGTGAGAAAGAGTGCACAGAGGTAAAATGTGTACTACAGGAAAATAATGCCACTGATGGCATTATTAATGACACACGTTACATTGCCACTGATGTCCCCTTTCACCATTCAGCCCATCTACTCTGCCCAAATTTTCTAAATACTTTCCACACACGCTTAAACTCCCTCATTGTCCTGGGGATTTCTTTTGCCCAACAACCTGAGGATATTACTATTAAAAATTTATTGGTACTCATTTTAACTACTTTGTATGGATGAAGAACTGAGTCAACCCTACAGGAATTAAACATGTGACCTTCTCAGGTTGTACTGATTCTACAAATGATGCATTAGCCCACTGAGCTATCTACATAAATGCGCCTATTAAATCCGTGCTCTTGTGCCTGCACCTACCCATACAATGATCAGATTGGACATTCACTATTCATAGAGCTACGTTTAGTGCCATGTACAGTTAAACAGACATTGCAGTTATCTAGAGGTGATCTTTAGCAATAACTACCACTTTGACCTAGCCAGCCTAAATATAGTTGAAGAAACCATTTGTCATTGTGTTGCACCTTTTGCTCACTTGTTCTTAATCCTCCTCTGATTCCTTGTTATGTTCTCAAGCCATGAGAATAAAACATAATTAAATTGCTTTCAAATAACTGATAACACTGTGAGACGTCTTATTTGTTACCCAACAGAAATGTTGCTCTTTGCATCAATATTACCCCTGTCAATTTCCTCCTTTATTTTGCTTGGAAACACTTTTAATTTATCTGTTGCTTAGTAACAGTATCCACACTTTACCAATTTTTCCACATTTTAGCCTTCATCATCTATTTCAACAAGAATAGTACAAACATAAATTTCGTTGAATGTGCATTATTAGTATGCTCTAATTATGATAAGAAATCATTGCTTAATTTTTTATTGAATACACAGCTAACTAAATAATGAATTTATCTATGTTTTTGATAACCTCAGTTGAAATCGAATAATAGTAATTTTATACCAAGGACCTGCATACATTTTCTTTATGAGATGTATCTCTAATTAATACAGATTATATTATCTACTAAAGCAGATGCTGACATACTAACAAGAAATACTGGTCATTGGTCTTATAGAGACACAGACTGTTATGGATCGAAATTAATGTAGGTAAAATGTCTATTTACTTTGTATATCTGTATTCAGTATTTTCTCAAAATGGATGCTAGAGCACCCCCTCCCATCGACTGAACACCTCATGTAACAAGATGGTGTCTCCATCCGCAGTAAAATCCAGAGATGATGGTGACATCACACTTTGGAGGCAGTGCATTAGATAAGACACTTAACACCTGACCAATTAAAGATGTATTCGCTCTGTTATCTTGCATTTTGCTTATGATGTATTTTCTGCTTTACAAGGGGCCTGCTGCCCCCCTGCTTAAACATTCCAAAGTTTTTCATTAACCTGAAACCTGTGTCTCAGTGTGATTTACTTCAGCGTGCACGCATTCTATTTTAAGCAATCAGGACAGGGGGCAGATATTCATGCAAACACTTGGTTTGATCTAAAACAAGACCACATATACTGTTGATAACTAAATAGTTTCATGGGGCCTAAGCTGGCCTATTTAGGAGAGGGGGCTACTGTGCAAGAAAGCCAGCAGGTCCAGCCAAACTCAAAACCAGCAGGGAGCTTTGGAAACCACACTACTTCAAATAAAAGCATATGTGCAACTTGTATAGCTCACAAGCAGTGCCTGTTGGAAGTTTCTCAAACCTGCTCACAATGTTAGGTCAAGCACTTTTGATTCAGATATGGTGCGTGAGTGGGCACATGATATAAGGAAGTGGGCACAAAGGTGCTTTTGCTTCCTCTGCAATACTAAAGTGGCCCTCTCTTCAGAGAGACAACGAGCAGCACTGTTCCGTATCGACGATAAACTAGCCACTTCTGGCCACTAGGCCCCCGTACACACCAGACTCAGCCTTTCTACCCGGAGGTGGGGAACTGCCAACGCTTCCATTATTCCAGAGTCTCGGACCGTGGTCACGGAGGAAGAGGTCGTTCCCGTGCAAAATTCACCTCTGGTAAGTCACCACTTTACTTTTCCTTTGCATATTGTCCAGATCGCAGGCCATGTTTCTAATTTTTTTTCCAGAACTGGGCAGAACTTTCATCAGACAATTGAATTCTGCAAACCATGCAGGGCTACCAGATAGATTTTGAGGACGGTTCAGCTGTAACCCCCCTTGTCCACTCCGATTCTCCACCACAGACGCTCAACTGAAAGACTGGCAACTACAAAACCTGCATTCGAAGGGTGCTATCTAACCATCCGCAGGTCCGGGTGGATTACTCAGCAACATCTTTCTGGTCAAGAGGAAGTCTGGAAATTTTGTCTGGTTATCAACCTACGAGAACTAAACAATCACGTAGTATACCGTCACTTCAAAATGGAGGGTAAACACCTTCTTCGGGATCTTCTCTGGGATGGCTAATGGTTCACCCGTCTGGATCTGAAAGATGCATACCTTATGATCCCCATACATGAACTGAGTCAACCCTTCCAACATTTTCTCTGGGACGGCTAATGGTTCACCCGTCTGGATCTGAAAGACGCATACCTTACGATCCCCATACATGAACTGAGTCGACCTTTCCTACGTTTCCTCTGGCAAGGGAACCCATGGCAGTTCACATGCCTGCCTTTCAGACTCAGTTCGGCCCCCAGGTGCTTCATGAAGATGCTAAAACCTTTAGTAGCACACCTTCGGGCTCGGGGGATATGTTGCACCATATATTTAGATGATCTACTCGAACTAACAAAAGTTAAATCTGATTGTAGCATCCTACTCCGGCTGGACAATGTCTCATTGGTACGATACATCAACCGCTTCGGAGGAACCCGCTCAGGGGCACTGGTGGATCTTCGACTACTGTCTACCCCGCAACATTACTCTGGTAGCCTAACATCTGCCGGGAGAAACCAACCTCACAGCAAACTGGTTCTCTTGCCACTGGTGGGACAGAAGCAATTGGCAATTGGATTCACAGATCCTTGCCACCTTAAATTACTGGAGAGACCCCTTTTTCCTAGGCCTGTTCGCATCTCGCAACAACTGACAGACACCAAAGTACTTCAGCTGGCTTCCAGATCCACAGAGCGTTGTGTTGGATGCCTTCCTTCAGACTTGGCCTAGACATGGAGCTTATGCCTTCCCACCATTCGCGATGATAGCGACGGTTCTCACACCGCTATGGCAGAGTCAGCCATGGCTCCCAGACCTACTGTAATTGTCTTATGAGCACCCCCTCCTCTTACCGAATGACCCAACAATCCTCAGGAACCCAACAGGGGATTCACATCCTATGCTCCTGGACAGCCACCTCCTCTTGATGGCTTGGACACTTTCCGGGGTGCCTGGCGTATCAGAGACTTATCGCAAGATGCTAAGGACCTCTTGTGAGATTCTTGGGTGCCGGGGGCAAGAAAATGTTACCTCTCAGCCTGGCTATCCTGGTTCAATTGGTGTCTGGGACAGAACCTCAATCCCTTTACTACCCCTGTCTCCTCGATACTGAATTTTCGCTCATCTCTATTTAGCTCTTGGAAATCTTATCGTTCCATTAATGTGGTTCGATCGGCAATCTCAGCTGCTCATGTACCATCGCAATGGATTCCGGTGGGGCAAAATCCTCTCATCTTCCACCTTCTTCGTGGCATTTGACTGCATCTTCCTCCAGGTCTTAAATACAAATGGCTTTGGGATGTCGGTGTTGTTAAATTTTTGTGCAATTGGCTGTCTAATGACCAGCTCTCTCTGCGTCAACTTACGGCCAAGTTTACTTTTTTCCTCTGTTTGGTTTCTTTTCAATGGGTATCGGATGTTCAGACTTTTGATGCAGACACTTTAACCTTGTCCCCTGAAGGGGTTACCTTTCACATCTCCCATTGCGCCAAATCAGACTCAAGTTCAGTTTTCTATCCTTTCTTTCCTTCAGATCCTCAACTCTGCATTGTGTCGACCTTACGCTGTTATATGGTAGGTACCGTGATGCTGCGGTCTCCCTCTTCACGTCAACTTCTGATATCATACGTTCGACTTAACGGTATGATTTCCATACTACTTCGTTGGCTCCTATCATCAACAGGGATAGACCCGTGTTTTGGGGCGCACTTGATCCGACAAGCTGCTGCCTCCTCCGCTCTTTCAGCGGACGCCTTGCTCCCTGGTATCCTATGCGCGGCGGATAAGACATGCAAATCAACGTTTCAGACCTTCTACTTCCGTCCCTCGTCGAATCCTGTCTTTTCCCTTCTATCTCAGCATTGAAACTGCAAAATATGATGCCTTCTGTCATGTTATAAAATTTAAGATTATGCTAGTTTTAGTGTACTAATAATCTTAATTTTAATTAGGACAGGAGACGAATATTTTCCCACCCTTCTTATCATTTATTAAATTTCTTTCCCACCCTTTGTTTAAATTGTTAAATTCTTACATTCACCCTTAGGTCAGTTTCTTTTCTGATTTTATTCACATTACATTATATTATTTTGTTCGTAGGTTTGTTTATCCGTTATGGGCTTCATTACTTGGGTGTTTTTTGTATCTGTTTATTTAGTTAGTTTTCAGGAAAGTTGTTTATGTTATAATTTGTAATGCTACGTAT